CCCCCCGACGTAAGCCAATGTTAGATAGTTATCTATACAAGATATCCTAGTAATCCAGCTGTCTCACACTCCTAGAGAGCAGATTACTCGGATAATAAATGTGGTGGGATTATCGATAATCCTATGTGTAGCCTCCGTACTTAATTGTGTATTGTTAAACTGATGTGCTTTGCTAGCTGTTATAGATTATAATTCAGTACAACATTATACAACTGTTCTTTTAAATTTGTGTGTTCTCGGTTGTATTGAATTAATGAAAATGTACAAAGTGAACGTATGTACAATTGTAATAACCCCGCGTTACCACAGGGGTCTGACAATAAAGTTACAGTGTGTATGTTAGGGCCTCATATGATTACTGTATAACATGAAATATTCGTAGGTATTTTCTTTTGTGGCTTGAAGCCATTTAGATCGTTTCGTGATACAAACTTTGATTGATTCACCATATAAACAAAGTCTATTCAAATATATCAATTAAATACGTTGTATTTATTTTTGTGGTTCCGTAGCCTCCACGAATACAGCGAACATTGCATGTTATACAGCATAGAAATAATCATTAAACGTTTCAGGAGTATAAATCAACACTCTCTGAAAGACTATCCTCAATTTATGGATAGGAAAATAAAGAACAAATTTCAAAAGAAGCCAAGTAGTCTTTCATCTACCAGAAAATTTGAATTTTGCAGCGAAAAAACCTTAGATAGGATAAAACTTGTTATTTCTAAACCCTACCACATTTCCTACATATACCAACATTGAGAAATGGCGTTGTTATAGAGTTTGATATAATCCGTTAAACGTCTGATACGATTCCCTACACATTAAGAAAGGTCCAATAATAATACTGTGTCTTAGTTCTTAGGCCCCTGTGTGTCTGGCCACCAACATGTAGTGTTGGTTTATAACGGAGGAGTTTTCACAGAAAATTACGTAATGTTATATAACGTCAACATTTACTAGAGTTTAATCACAGTGATAGATACAGTTTTGTCGTGAAAATAAAGTAAATATGTTTCAATTGTGAAAGAGTAATGGTTTTGTAATTCATCACAATAAGCAATCAATTTGAGAACAGATTTGACCATGAAAGATAATTTTAAATAAATCATAATGAAAATCAGTTTGCCCAGGTCAACCTTCCTCTGTTGAGCCATTGGCGATACAAATGTAGGTCTTATTTCTGTACAAATTTCGTAAATGCTTATATAATATTCATTATTGATTAATACCAAGTATACTTATTTTGCGGTTGTGGAAACTGATATCAAAATATTTACTTCTCTCGATGAAAAAAAATGGCATTCTTCAATAAATAAGTAGTATCCTTGCTGTTATTTTTGGTTTGTTTCAGTTTTAAGAAAATATTGGTTATGAAACAGTTAAATCTGTCCTTTAAGACATTTTAAAGGCACATCCTATTGGTCAGATTAACCTGTCTAATCCGACACCATGTGATACAACTTATTTGTCAAACTAACCTGACTAATCCGACACCATGCGGAACAACTTCTTAGTCAGATTTACCTGTCTTATCCGACACTCAATTAAGTGTGATTAGACAGAATGTATAAATTCTCGTGGGTCGGGTTATTAATATAGAGGTTTAACGTACTGTAATAAAGTTTGATAAAACTTGACCTCTGAAGATGAAAACAAATTAGTGTGTTATTGGTGTATTAATTATTAATTATTAATTACTTGTGCTAAAATCACAGACATGCTTTACAGAATAACTTCTAAGAAAATGAAGACTCCATATTTTACAGATAAATTACTGTTTTTGTAAATATGTAAATTGACTTAAATTGTTCAACGTGTGGCTGAAATAGGGTTTTCAGACGGGTAATACCCCAACATTACAGATAAATACGTCACTCCACTGTGCACAATATTTCTGTACAGAATATTCTAACCCAACCTCATTAAAATCAGATGTTAATAAAAATACCTACGGCTATTACATCATTGGTTTAGACTGGAATCTCTAATACAACATTTTCACGCGTGATTGAACTTTGAGCGGAAACTTGGAATACCCTAATTTCACTCAGTGACGTCAATCATTGTTAGTTTATATATAGCCTAGACTAGGATTTCCAATTTTACAGACACACACGCTTTTAGAAACGTGATCGAACGTAGATCGTAAAATGGAACACTTGGTCAACATTGTGCAGCCCACGTATTTCTTTATGTTTGCGACTTACCCGCCCACTCATGTGCAATAGCACTACGCTGACTCAACGCACACCTTTCCCTACGTCAAGGTTGTTTAGTAAAGGAGCTCGATTACCCTCAAGAATGTTGGCATTTCATTTTACGGAAGCCCGGAATGGACAAAACCTCTAACTCATAAGGTACAAGGATAGAGAAGCAATTGAAACTATAATTACAGACAACGTAAGACAATACTATTAGAACATATTACCGATAACTAGTGACCGATGTGTGTTCATACCGACATCAACGAAAAACAATATCTGTTCAATATAGTTATAAGTATGTATCTATATCCCCATACACATGGACTATTCAGAGAAAGTGTTTTTATTTCTCCAACATAACTTCAACAACCCAGATGGAGTTTAAAATCGTCTGGGGTGGATGTTGTGGTATCTGTACTGTAACTACCGTTGGAAGCACGGTCCCACTACAAACAGAACACAATACTCAACACTCACGCAGGTATACACACATAGGGAGATATTAGTCAGGTGGCATATGACTAATAGTTAGCGCCTGATAAGGCAGCTCCTTCGAATTCCTAAAAAATTGTATTGATTGATGTATATGCTAATTGTATTGATTGTATATCCATGTACTGTAAACCGCTTTAAAGTGGCTTATTCTAGCTAGATAGGTCGCTATATCAAATGTTGTATATACATATTTTTTTATTATTATAAATTCATATATACAATCTAAATTAATAATTGTTTGGATCTTTATATATGTGTGTCCTATATTTGCGATAGTGGAGTGATTGTATCTTCAGTGCAAACGATATTCCTGGAACAGCCTTGCGTCATCTCAATGTTTACTTGTTATGGTCTCGCGTTCTGCGAGACGGAAGGATTAAAATGGCACTGATGATATTGAGTTCATAGTATTATGGATGCAATTTATTGTTGTTGTGTTTATGGAGTGAAAATGTATACATTAAAGTACATTTTTCGCCAATTAAGTTTGTGATATAGGCAAATGCGATTTTGATTGTTCGAAATCGTTAACATGTTTCAAATACAATATCAATCATTTCAAGATGGCAATATTTGGGAAAATCGCTTAGCTTTCTTTATAATTTCATTTCGATTAGTTTGATTTATTTTTTCATTACAGCTTGCCTGTATTTCAAACCATTGTATTTCGTTATTCTTATCAAAAAGGACATTTATAAATATGTTTAGATATTTACTGAATATTGACGAAAAAGTTGTCATTGTCGTTTGTTTAGTTTTGGTTTTATTTTGCTTAACGTCCTATTTACGGCTAATGTCATTTAAGGACGTGCCTCCATGTGTGTAGTGTATGTGTGCTTGTATGTGTGTATGCAGGAGACAGGGTATGTTGGTGTGTTTGCCTCCTTGTGATAGCGCGGATCTGATGCCGACTTTATAGTGCTATCTCACTGAAATACCATGCCGAAGGCACCCAGCACAGCATTACGCCCGGTCTCATTATACTGACAACGGATGGACCAGTTGTTGCCATTCCCTCTAAATGTTGAACGTTAAGCAGGGAATAACAACTATCATTTTTAAGGACTTTGGTATGTCCCGGTCTGGGACAACCCGTTTTCTTTCTTACCTGGGCGAACGCTCAACATTTTGGCAAAAAGTGAGGTGTTGTCAAACAAGGCGCTAGGAAATAAAAGGTAGATAGAATTAGAAAGAATTTTAAAGATCCCAAATATTGCGATGGGTGCAGTAGTTTTTTTGTCGCTTTTGTGTCCCAAAGTGTCGTTTGTTTAAAAATGTTTGACCTTCAGTCTGTATCTAGTGTCGTCATAGTAACACCATCAGATTGCCTGAAAGTCCATTGGACATCCTATTGTTATTTAATGTCGCCACAATATGTCATATTTCACGATTTCATACCCAAATATATGAGATATATGACATGGGTGTATTCACTGAATAAAACGGAAATGAAACAATAAATACATCGAACATTAAAATATCATTTTTATTTATGCTTTTAATCATTAACACGTCAAAAACAAAAGAGATCCTACAAATATTCATAATATACATGCACGTTAAAAGTTATTTCAATAAAATAATAAAAAACAATCAACAGAGACAGTAAACAAACATTCAAATGGTTATATCATTCCTAATGAAGCTTCAAATGTTATTTTCCAGTTCTAGAAATTACACTTAAAACATGAAAATGATAATATTTTACAATATCATGAGTTATTTAAAACAAATAAAAATACAAACATAGCAGCAGACAAAATGTAAAACGCAGGTCATGGCATAAATAAAGGATCTTACATAGAGTGTCAATGTCAAATTTCATATCACACGAGACGTTAGGTGCAAAGTAATTCCAGGTTATATTTTTGAATAACGAACTGTTTTAAATGCAATGAAAATAATAATGAAAAATAGACATTTGTAATTTATCTAATTTTTATCAGAAAAAAACCAAGTTAAACAAGTTCAAAATTTTTTTAGTGGCGTAGAAATATGTTCCCACGGTTTTGACCAGTCGCAGCACCTTTAGGTTTTGTGACACATGTGTAATACCGTATTTATGACATGGCCGTATGGCATAGTAAAATGGTTCAGTTATGTGATACACAAATGTGTAGTATACTAAATCTCTACATAAAATATCTTGATTGATCATGATGGCGCAATTACTACGATTGGGTATCTCATCTAACTGAACAAGCTAGACACATTTACATTAATTTACTAAAGTTTTGTAAAATATGAGGTTTCGAAAATGGTGTTAGCCCACATGCATTACAGGTTTCCGCACTCCCAACTCATGGGAAAACTTGCTAGGAGTTGGTAAAATATTTTGGTTACCCACTAGTGGATGTAATGTCATTGGTCAATCATCTAGTTATTATTTCAAGTAACGATCTTTGCAAAGCTTTATCCATTGTGATGACACAGTTCACGGCAATGGTTTCCACGATCAAAAAGAGGAATAATGTAATTCCTGAGCGAAATATCTGGTTTTGCAGACATATCTAAATGTTGTGGGAGAAGAAAGTCCCCAAACCTGCGGTTGCTGGTTATCATGTTTATCTAACTCGAGAAGGTTAATTTTCTAATTGTAAAAGACACTCTGTAAACTTAGTGTCTTCATGCAATTTGAAAAATAACTCACTCGAGTTAGATAAACATGATGACCATGATTGTTGGAAAACCTCTAGATACATATACAACTTAATACTGTGAAACCTCGATATAAGTTGAGGGTCAGATGACAGGTCGAAGAGAAACAAAATACAATTGTTCAGAAAAGTATGAAAAGTGTTAAATTAACATGTGTTGGTGCTAAGTGAGGTTGCATTATATCGAGGTTTCACTGTACTGAATGTTACAAAAACAAGATTGCATATAATAAAAATATAATAATTTAAATAAAAATAAAAAAATCTATGTATTTCACAATAAATGTAACCTGCCATGTCGGTTGCATCATTACCTTTGAAAACATATGTGTATTGGTACACAATAGCAACATCGGGATCACAAACATACTAAAAATAATATTAATATTCTTGTAAATGTTAATTACAGATTACAGATTTATGTTTTTATCCTCAAAACTATTTTAAAAGAGTCTTTTATGTGTAGATAAGCGGAATAAGGAAACTCTACCCAAAGTTGTAGAAATAAGATATAACGGAGGCTTACCAAGGTACCTAACACTAACTACCCAAAAATATAGAAATTGGTCAGAACCAAGGCTAGCCTGTTGTTTTCATCAAACTTCTAAACCCAAAATGGGTATTTTCATATCTATTGACAGACCCTTTTATTCCTTTATTTTACCCGATATGTAAATTAAATTGATAACGGCATAAGGAATGTATAATTAATTAGTTGAGTTACATACAGATTACCAATACAACATCTCAAGAAAGAACAGGAAAAGTATATAGCTGCGTTTAATGACGTCACATATATTGAAATGACGTCAAATATCAGAACATCAACCGGCATGATAGTGAACATTGTGAATCTCAACGTTATGTTTTTAAGCACATCCTAGTCAGTATTTCTGAAGAATAATAGCGCATTATTATTTTCGAGAATATTTTAGCAACACACAATTGACTGCTACAAGTTGAAAGTGAAAAATTATAATCTGATTAAGAAAATATTACCTACAACAGATATTTTCAATTCAAATTAAACGGTTGATAATAATCTATTTAAACATCGCCCTTAACTATATTTGAGACAAGAATTTTCCATTAAACATTAAATTATGACATTTTTGACTACTTTGAATAACCAACTATTGCTACGAGCGAAAACCCTCTTTCCAAGAGGCTATATAATATAACTATGGCCTGTGCATGTTAATATCCCCCCCCCCATCCGCCTGTTTTAGTAATTTGTCTATATAATGCCATTATTATTCAACTCCGATGTTTCACATTAATGGGTATGTCCACATTTTGAGCATCCTTCAAATTTATGTCCTTTGCTGAGAAATATATATTCTCAGTTGCACTGATCTGTTCAGCATGACTAATAAATACCTAGGAATTATTTTATTAGTATTTTGACGTTAAACATGTGTATTTCCAATGGAGATCACTCAACTTGTACCTGTCTAATACATTAGAAATGTGCTCTCTTGCATAACATTGCGAAAAATAAACTAGATGCATAAATCAAAGTAAGAAAGATGGGTATGGTTTACGACAAAAATGCGCCAAAATGAAATTTAAATTTATGATTCAAGTAAACAATCAATATCTTAAAATACTATTATGCAAGCTCATCAACCACGGAAGAGAAATATAGCATTTTTGATAGTGAAACATCATGCTAGCTGAGAGATCGTACGTTCGCACCGAGCTGACTGAGAGATCGTACGTTCGAACCGTGCTGACTGAGAGATCGTACGTTCGAACCGCGCTGGCAGAGAGGTCGCATGTTCGAACCGTGCTGACTGAGAGATCGGACGTTGGGAATGTTTTGGTAGAAGTTTATTCAGTAAACAATTCGATACTTTCACTAATAATTTAATCAAAATGTTTTGTGTTTTAAACGTTGTGGCGATAACTGAAGCAGATATATGTAAAGGAGATTGGACTTTAAAATACGTTAACGGTAAACTAAGTGACAAATTAAACGAACATTACTTCCGGTTTTACCGTACAGTTGTTATATTCTGCAAACATCTGATTGCTCCAGTATACGCACCTGTGTAGTATGAATTGGGAGCATCTTTGCTGAGACTTTATGCCGAGGCAGAATGGGTTTCCGTAGAATTTTGACTGTCAGTCACTTTATTCCATTGACAGGTGAACTATGGTTATCGGTGCAGAAAGAACTGTATTTTAACTTCCGTTTTATCAGTGAGGTACCGATGGTCTGACTCTAGACGGGTCTGTGTAAATGTGGAACAAAAAGTCGGGTTGGTTTTTCTTTTTATCCCTTTGTTGGATGTCCATTTTATTCTCATCTTCATTCCATCGCAGAAACCAACCTGTATTTACAGACATACAATAGTATGAAAAAACAAACATTTTGCCAGACAAATTCCCATTAATTAATTTCATTTCAATGGATGTATTATAAATAGGATATTAGTTGTATCATAAACACTAAATAAGATATTTGCATACAAATATGTGATTTAGTAGAATATTTTATCAACATTTCTGCCTGCAAACGGTCTGCTAGATGCAATAAACTCTCCAGAAAACACTTGTAGGGCATGCAAGCAAAACACAAATTGCAACATCTGATACGTAACGTCTATCAAACTTCATTTTGCTTTGTGATTTTCATGATTATTAATTATTTATTTTACAGATATTTGATATTCTTACATCATGTTGTCGTAACTACCAAAAAAACCACGAGACAATCAAGTACTTTGACTGTGATCAAATATAGAAATATTAGTTTTTACGTGCACTTAAATATTCTAACATCATTTCAGCTCACACATTATGAGTGTCGACCAACGTGTTTTTTTTAGAGTAGTAACAGGTACAGGATTTTTTTTTTCTCAAAAAGGAGTTTTATAAGATTTGTTTGTTAAGTTAATTCATATACTGTAAAGATATGAAAATTCGTTAAATATTAGTCTTACAACCATCAAAAGGAAACGCAAAATTATCCTTTTGATTTTCTTTTACATACCTTCATGATTGAGCGATTCGAGATTGTACGAACCGTCTTTGTACATCTGACAGATGAATAGATATGGAAGTGGGTTTGCTATAGACGTCATCTTTTCAGGTTCATATTCATATCTCTGAAATAAAAATGTCCGTGCTTTATTTCGTACTACATTGATTTATATTGTACCACAGTGCTATATTGTGTACTGCAGTGTTTTATATTGTACTGCAGTGTTTTATATTGTACTGAGTTTTATATGTAAGATGTACTAGAGAGCTTTATATTGTATTACAACGCTTTATAGTGTACTACAGTGGTTTGTATTGTACTGCAGTGTTATATAGTGTACTACAGTGGTTTGTATTGTACTACAGTGTTTTATATTGTACTACATAGCTTTAAACTTACTTCAGTGTTTTATATTGTACTACATAGCTTTAAACTTACTACAGTGTTTTATATTGTACTACAGTGTTATAGATTGTACTATATAGCTTTAAACTTACTACAGTGTTTTATATTGTATTTCAGTGTTTTAATTTGTAATACAGTGTTTTATATTATACTACAGATCTTTATATTGTACTACATAGCTTTAAACTTACTACAGCGTTTTATATTGTACAACAGTGTTTTATATTGTACAACGGTGTTTTTTTTTATTGTAAAACAGTGTTTAACATTGTACTACAGTGTTTTATACTGTACTACAGTGTTTTATGTTGTACTACAGTGTTTTATATTGTACTACAGTGTTTTATATTGTACTACATAGCTTTAAACTTACTACAGTGTTTCATATTGTAATACAGTGTTTTATATTGTATAATTGTGTTTTTTTTGTTATTGTACTACAGTGTTTAACATTGTACTACAGTGTTATAGATTGTACTACACAGCTTTAAACTTACTACAGTGTTATAGATTCTACTACAGTGTTTTATATTGTACTACAATGCTTTATATTGTACGACAGTGTTATATATTGTACTACAATGCTTTACATTGTACTACAGTGTTTTATATTGTACTACAGTGTTTTATATTGTACTACAGTGTTTTACATTGTACTACAGTGTTTTATATTGTACTAAATTGCTTTACATTGTACTACAGTGTTTTATATTTTACAACAGTGTTTTATATTGTACTACAGTGTTTTACATTGTACTACAGGGTTTTATACTGTACTACAGTGTTTTATATTTTACAACAGTGTTTTATATTGTACTACAGTGTTTTACATTGTACTACAGTGTTTTATATTGTACTACAGTAGTTTATATTGAACTAAAGTTGTTTATATTGTACTACATAGCTTTAAACTTACTTCAGTGTTTTATATTGTATTACAGTGTTTTATATTGTACATGAGTGTTTTATATTGTAAAAGTGTTTTATATTTGTTAAAAGAAAATGATACAAAATCGTCACGAAATAAGTAACAGCATACGTACGGAACAATTGTAGAAATATATGATTTATCAAACTATTAGAAACAGTTGAGTTCTACGCTATGAACGCCATTGTAAATTGTGACACCAGTTAAACGATGTTAAATCATACCTTTAATCTGACGTTGCCTTTTGTTCCCACACATATAAATCCATCTGTGTCTTTGGACGTTAAGGTAAGTAAAAACAGCTCAACATTTTCATTTCCGTCCTTTCGAAAACCATGATATTGACACCAGGAAAATTGAACTGCAAAAAAATATAAAAAATAGATGAATCTTGAATTGATTACAGCAATCGCATTTTCCAATGATTAGTATAATTTGCGCCTTATATTTGAAGACAATTATAAATTAGCATTTCAGGATCTTTTGTTTATTTTCAACATTCACAAAACGAACAAAATAAATGAAAACTTTTTATTGTGCTTCGATCTTACAAGAAAATATGAATATTTACATTTTGGATCTTTGATGCTTAATAAAGAAAACAAAAAATCTTTTGAGAATTGTAAGTGTGCTTGGAACTAATTACAAAATACGATGCATACATTTCGGATCTTCGTTGCTTGGTAAGTGCCCTAGAACTAGTGTATCTGGATTTTCGTTCCCCGGACACAAATATTTATCAGTTCTGTTGGTATAGTGAGATATCCAGCACTTTCGCTTTCCATCACATTCCAGATTATATATCACACTGAAGCTCCGGACTAGTTTTATCAGCAACCTAGAAGTGACATCTACCAAAGTGTTTCCACCTAGAATGTCAAAATAATATTTTTTTAATACATGTGTGTTATATTTTTTTTAATAACATACATACTTATAGATTATACAAATTTCTTGAAATAAAAACTATCATAGTATTTCCACCTAGAATGACAAAATATTTGTAAAACATTTATAAATTAATCATATATAATGATAGACAATAAACATTTCCAGAAGTGACATTATTAAAGTATTCCTCCTAGAATGACAAAATACTGATTTTCTGCTTCATGTGTCTTTCATGTATTTTATAGCATTTATCAATGTTTATAGATTCTGCACTAATTTTCAGAACAATTAGGAAGTCAAATTTAACAACGTATCCCCCCCCCCCAGAGTGACAAAAATGAAAATTTTCGACTACATACTGTTTTTAATTTGTGATGCAGTATCTATCCATATCATTAATTACATGTCACCTAGAGTTAACTCTAAACATAGCGTTTACCCACCATCTTCTTCTAGAAATTCAAGTTGAATTTCGATTCTGTAAAAGTCAAAACATTCTCCATCATCTTCTCTATGTCTGTGTCTCTCTATAACCTTCAAACAAAAAATATTTAATTCTCAGTTTATTTAAAACAAGTCCGAGACCGATAATTCGGTATCTCAGTTAGTAAAATAAAGTCATAGATCGACAGAAAATCACAAAGACTAATCTATAAAACATTTTGAATAAAAGTTACCAGTGTTTGTTTGGTTTCCTTGGTTTCCATGTGTATTACGTCGTTAGTCTTTTGAACTATGACATGATGACTTAGATTGTGTACATCCTCCTCATTGACGCTCATCAGGCGATCCCCATTCCTAAAGTAATATAATAGAAAACATGATATATCAGTAAATTATTGGATGGAATTAGCTCCATTAGTTGAGTCTGTTATAAAGTTGTAGAGAGAAATTTAATAATTTATTATCAATGTTTAATTTCCAGAAAGCTATAGTTACATTTGTAACCAGCTTATTTATGCATCAAATTATTGAGATATTAACTAGTTATATTCATCATCGTATTAAGTTGTTTTACGTTAATTTTTCTATTAAGACTTTTTTGTTAATATCAGCAAATCCATCTGATCAAATACAACCAAAATGAATTCACAATTTCCAATGTCAACCAACTGTGTCCTTCTTTTGGCCGACTTATTTTTGTATTCATGCGAGGATGAACTTATTTTATTGAACTTATCATGACTGAGAACAAAAACCGATTAAAGTCTTTTATTTTCACATTCAGATATATAGACGTATATAATTATGTGATGTTTTAAATAGCTTGGTAATTGACCATGTCGATCTATACAACCTCCTCAAGTCTGAATTTAGGACACTACAAACGTTTCTAATACAACCGCTTTGCTTAAACTTGCATAATAGCCTACAGTAATGGCTTACTACATAGCTGTACAATATGAGGGACGATATCGACCTTTCTATTGTGAACTTTCCCTTTCTTGATAGTAACCGTGCTGTTTCCCCAATCTTCCGTGTTCACATGTCGTAGCTAATTTACTATTTAAGAGTTGTTCCAATTGTCTTTCATTTCCATGGAAGGTGACTATTGCTGTCGGTTAAAGATATCTTATTGTAAAAAATCAAACACTGACATGAATCGGATTTGAATCATCAGTTTAACCTAATTGAACGGCCAGAAATATATATTTCAAACTATACATCTAGTGCAAATACCACTAACTTAAGCTTAAGTCGTTGTTGAATTTCCTGTGAACAATCTGATATGAAGTGACCATGCAGGCGGGTCTCGAGACAAAGCCATTCTGTATCCATACCCCTACGCTTTACTTCTGATCTTTGCAATGTTGGATGTGTCTTGCAGGTACATCGAATCTAGATAAAAGAGTACAGATATTTTCAATCGGAAGTGAAATGAGTAATATTTAATGAAATTATTGAATTTCCATGTTTGCTTAGAGTTTTTAATTTCTAAATCAGCATGTTAAATTTGTCCTATTTTGTGAAAGATGATACTGAAGACAATGCGATGGAACAATTGAATTAGTGTTGTACCTTTGTCGTGTCGTGTGTTTCTTGGGAAACGATTTGAATAGGCACTTTAGGGTGGGGACTGTCGAAATGGTCGAAACCGTTAGGCAGATTGGTTTCCATATCTATTGAAATTGCCGTTTCCTCAACGATATCCAAACTCTCCGTTCTGGGTATTTTGTGACAGAAAGTTGTTATTTCGCTTCTAAATTCCTCCTGAATTGGTATTTTTTCAATGTGGTCGATGGGATATTTTTGAGTAGGCAGGTAATCACACGGTCCATTGCTGCATCCAGCAGAGTTCTAGGTCGAGGATACAAAAAATGAAAAATTCTTCATTTTTGTCACGATCGCAGGTAAATATTATATATAATATAATGGATCGTGGAGTTATTGTTTATGTTTACTTTTGTATGTGTAACTTACAATTTTCAAATACGAATTGTCTTCACAGGTCACAAAGGAATGCTTATAAGTCTTATTTGTTCTCCTTTCAAAACTTCTAGACAAAACCACAACCTTATCTAGATATGTCAAAGATGCATGGAAACCATGGCGCCATTACAAATTGTATTGGTTAGAAAAGGGGAAAATGACAAAAAAACTAATAATCTTGAAATCAAATTGAAAACGATAGTTTTACATTTGTTAAAAAATCTTACCATTTTTTCTGTACTGCAAATGTCATTGACACATTTACTTGGCTTCGGTTGCAATAGGTCGTTGAAGCAATCACCGCGTTCAATATTGTTCGCTATGACGTCTTCCTCCTGGGAGGAACTGTCATCATGATTGTTCTCTGTTGTTAAAGACTGTTCCTCTGACGATAATGAATCAAACTCGCTTGAATTGTCGAACGACGAGCTTTTAGACGATGCTGATTGTTGCGGACTTCCATATCCGGATTCCAGAGAGGAGGAGACCAGCAGATCCAAGTCGTTTTTATACTCATTAGGTGAACCAATAGACTGAAGTAAAAATAAAATGTGGTATAGTTAAATATATTTATATATACTTGATAGTTGAGACATGTCAAGTAAGTATAAAATTTCAAGGTATATTGTAAGCATAATGTATATCTAAAACATTTTTCATTGATAAGATACACAGTCAGTTAAATAGTACCACAGAAGGACTACATAAACATACTGTGCAATAGGCGGTCATGTTTACACTCGAACAGCAGGCTGTACTAATGCTTATAACGGATATACAACTGCTTTTATATATAAAATGGTCCATTTGTTTCCTTATCTTTCATTCTGAACTGGTAAATCCCTTAATCACGGGGTTACTTAATTATACAGGAAGTCAGAATTTTAGATTTGTTCGGCTATAACAGTGTCAACTTGACGTATTTTCATTTTTTATTTTTGACATGCTGTCACCAGTTTAAAAAAATAGAAAGATCTTTTAATTAAAAACGTTTATATAACATCAAAAATGAATATTTACTAAAACATATTAGTACGCACTTAAAAACAGTTTTCAAAAGTATTTCTTTCTTTTTAAATAAAAATATACTTGTCATAAAAATAACCATAATTACAATAGTACAAGATCATCCGGTTCTTAGTCATGCTCTTCCTGTTGAAACTTGTAGCAAGGCTTATGTGTTTCACATTTGTACCTTGCTCTACGGCTATTAAACATTGAATCATATGTATACACAATTTTGCTCAACGGATAAGCATGTTTTCATAAATAGAAAATAATAATAATAAAAACAAAAATGCTTAAGGTTGTCATGTTCAAATTGTTCAAATCTTCCATCAAACCCCTTCCAAAAAGTAGATAAATAAATGAACAAATAAATAAAAAATTTTTTAAAAAAAATTGCAAATACAAGTGGAAAAAATACTGCAGTGGCTTGATCTAAGAGAATTTACTGCAATGGAAGTAAAGAGACTTTCAACAGCACTAGTTGCAGCCATTGGGGTATGCTTCTGCTGCTGTCCTGTATGACGCGTTTGTTATGAAAGCAATGATGACTCGTCAACTGACTTCTTAATTGTTGATTACTAAGAAATCCTATTGTTTTCTATATCAAAACAGTTTCATGTTTTACACTTTGTGTTATGTATGATTGGTTGTTACTACCACACTTGCCTATCCTATCACAATTTTGTGTTTGTTTTCATTTTAAAGCTCTCGTGGAAGTAAATGTTACACTGAGGCTAATTTTATCTATTGTAATGCGTTAAACGTTTCCTCAATTGCTATTCTGGTTAACTGTTTTGACGATAAAGCCATTGCCTCACCAAAGCTTATCTTATCGACTGTCTTGCGTTTAAAAAATAAAGGAATTATTACATTACAATCAAAACAAGTTACCTGACCAAAGTCCATCACTCCAAGCTTTGTGTATTCCTCCATGTTACAAACTCTTCCTCTCTTCTTGCATTAAGATGGGGTCGAAAGTCGATGCTGCTGTAAAAAAAAGAAACAAAAAGAACGATTTAATAATCTATATTCACAATGCATACACAGATTGAAATGACCATATCGATGTCTGTCAGTTTTAATCTGAGCCGGTAACCCAACGTTGTAGTATCCTGGGTGGACAGGAATCAGCAGCCCATCTCAGGATGGACCTTAGCCAGTAACCCATCTTTGTAGTGTCTAGGGTGGACCTTAGCCAGTAACCCATCTTTGTAGTGTCTAGGGTGGACCTTAGTATGTAATCCATCTTTGTAGTGTCTAGGATGGACCCAAGTCGGTAACCCATCTTTGTAGTGTCTAGGGTGGACCTTAGCCAGTAACCCATCTTTGTAGTGTCTAGGGTGGACCTTAGCCAGTAACCCATCTTTGTAGTGTCTAGGATGGACCTTAGACGGTAACCCATCTTTGTAGTGTCTAGGGTAGACCTTAGTCGGTAACCCATCTTTGTAGTGTCTAGGGTGGACCTTAGTGTGTAATCCATCTTTGTAGTGTCTATGGTGGACCTTAGTATGTAACCCATCTTTGTAGTGTCTAGGGTGGACCTTAGCCAGTAACCCATCTTTGTAGTGTCTAGGGTGGACCTTAGCCAGTAACCAATCTTTGTAGTGTCTAGGGTGGACCTTAGCCAGTAACCCATCTTTGTAGTGTCTAGGGTGGACCTTAGCCAGTAACCCATCTTTGTAGTGTCTAGGGTAGACCTTAGTATGTAACCCATCTCTGTAGTGTCTAGGTTGGACCTTAGACGGTAACCCATCTTTGTAGTTCTAGGGTGGACCTTAGTCGGTAACCCATCTCTGTAGTGTCTAGGGTGTACCTTAGACGGTAACCCATCTTTGTAGTGTCTAGGGTGGACCTTAGTATGTAATCCATCTTTGTAGTGTCTAGGATGGACCTTAGACGGTAACCCATCTTTGTAGTGTCTATGGTAGACCTTAGTCGGTAACCCATCTTTGTAGTGTCTAGCGTAGACTTTAGACGGCAACCCATCTTTGTAGTGTCTAGCGTAGACCTTAGACGGCAACTCATCTTTGTAGTGTCTAGGGTGGACCTTAGTCGGTAATCCATCTTTGTAGTGTCTAGGGTGGACCTTAGGTAACCAAACGTTGTAATATCTTGGGTGGACATGAATCAGTAACCCATCTTAGGATGGACATTAGCAAGGAACCCATCTCTGTTGTATCTTGGGTGGATCTGAGCCAGTTACCCATCTCTGTAGTATATTGGGTGGATCTGAGCCAGTAACCCATCTCTGTTGTATCTTGGGTGGATCTGAGCCAGTTACCTATCTCTGTAGTACATTAGGGGAATCTGAGCCAGTAACCTATCTCTGTAGTATATTGGGTGGATCTGAGCCAGTAACCTATCTCTGTAGTATATTGGGTGGATCTGAGCCAGTAACCTATCTCTGTAGTATATTGGGTGGATCTGAGCCAGTAACCTATCTCTGTAGTATATTGGGTGGATCTGAGCCAGTAACCTATCTCTGTAGTATATTGGGTGGATCTGAGCCAGTTACCTATCTCTGTAGTATATTGGGTGGATCTGAGCCAGTAACATATCTCTGTAGTATATTGGATGGATCTGAGCCAGTAACCTATCTCTGTAGTATAATGAGTGGATCTGAGCCAGTTACCTATCTCTGTAGTATATTGGGTGGATCTGAGCTAGTTACCTATCTCTGTAGTATATTGGGTGGATCTGAGCCAACAACCTGTCGCTGAAGTATCTTGGGTAGATCTGACACAGTAACCTATCTCTGTAATATCTTGGGTGGATCTGAGCCAGTAACCTATCTTTGTAGTATATTTTGCGGAACTAATCCAGTAACTTTACTTTAGATATTTAGATGATTAGATTGATTGACCTGAGCGAGCAACCCATTTTTTATTATCTTGGGCGGATCTGATCAAGTAACCAATCTTGAAATTAAGGGGAGCTTACTGTAGATAAATCATTCACACAAAACAGAAATCGCACATAGTTTTGTAAATAAACTTACTAGACCATCACAAGGTGAATAACCTCTTTAAGTATTGTTATGCAAATTAATGAGAAAAAAACCTTTCGATTTTAGGACAAGTAATTCCCTCACTTCAACATATGTGGATATTGCCATACAATAAAATTGTCCTCATTCGACCATGGCTGTTGCAAGGAAGTTAACTCTTTTACCACTATAAAACCATAATGGACTCGTTCAGATCAATGCGTGGTAGAATCTACTAAAGTTACATATGGGTGAAAGGGTTAAATCACAAACAAACAAACAATGATTCACAACGGTTTGGGTAGGGTAAACTCCTGTAATTAAATACGAAAGATAGAATGGTGCAAAAATTGTTACTGTGTTGCTTTATTATTGTTCAACATTTCGCTCTTTATCTCTGGTTGCCGTCTGAAAATCAAAGTGATAAATATCTGTAAACATGCAAAAATATTATGGGCAGTTGAGATATGATTAATCAGTTTTCCCTGAATTATAAGACTTTCATCACCCACAGTTACCTAAGAAAGTAACCAGAAAAAAGGAAAAGATCTCAATGAAAATTGTTTTGATATGTCACCTACTTAACAACTTAAATATCGTCGATATCCTGTTTTGTTTTTATTTCCATGGGAAACTGAAACGGACTTAAATGAAAAGTTATCGCTTTAGTTTTGAAGCCCAATCAAATGTCGTTATCAATACAATGTGTTGTTGACAAGGATAAATACTTCCGCCATAGTATCTAATCAAAAGTCAAGTCATGTACGTCCGGCATGAGGCACGCAGAGCGGTAGTGACACAAAGGTCAAGACTAGCAAAACCCTAATCAGTCCAAATACTTCAAATATTTTATTCACGTCTGTCATTCGATGTGCTGTTTGTATCTAAGTATTTGCCTCCATTTCACAACCACCCGCCTTATAATTGACATGAATCGTAAAAGCATTCGATTCCAACACAAATCAATGTGAATTGTGTTTTGAGCCCATCATTTTGTTCGAGACTAAAGACAGATAAAAAACAGATTGGTAATCGTATCAATCAGAAAGTATCTGTATTAAAGCCACTGGTGAAAAAAACCTTCTTGTTGAAAAATCTTGTTTTAAACATTAAAGATAATACAATGATAACCAGTAAATGTATTCCTGACGTATCCATGAAGTGACTATTGATGAAAATAACTGAATCGAAATAATTCAAATAAATAGTCTAATGGCATTTGTTTCTATTTGACATATGAAGACTAACCCTAAAGCTAAGAAGTCATAGCACTGGAGCCAAGCCAAATCACTCGAGTTGCTGCACTTAACCCTGTTTTGTACAGTATACTGATCCAATAATATAATAAAACATAATTGTAAATCTAATATCTCATGTGACCCAGAGTACCGATAGAGAAGAGAACAGATTAGGTTGCTATACGACGTGGCCGTACTGTATATCACAACAATGATCACATTGGAGGGCCACATAGCAAAATCAAACTAACCAGTCACTTATCCCTGCCTTTCGCATAGACTACTGCAAATAGAAACGCAAAGTAAACTCCCTCTCTCCGATACATGCCCATTTACAATACAAAATAAGTTCATCTGTTTTCCAACTTAGACATAGATACTAGCGAGGTCAATATTTAAATTATTTATCCATAACGAAAACAGCATTTCTGTCGATTCTGTTTCAGCTTTAATTAACTTTGTATCGGCTAACCGGAAGAATACACGCACCGTACTAACTGTTAGGGAAGTTATTTTCCCCTTTGAATACTTCCCACATGCAATAATGCGTCCGTAACGTAATCATTCCGCCATCTTGTGACCATTTGGCAACTTTTCGCTTCGAAGCTGACACGGTAATGTTTACAATGAAATGATGTGCTATGCGAATGCGTTAGTAGCTATGACGCAGAGAACTTCCGAATGAAATGTTGGTCAGACAGGTAGAAATCCCGATAATTATCCTAAAGTTATTCATTTTTATGAATATTTATCAGTAAAATCCGACCATTATTTTTCACAAGAAGACTCAAATTGAAATGTTTATGTAGTATTTGAAAGAAATGAAAAAATATGCTTCACCGTGATGAACCTTTAATGTGAAATTTTCAGTTAGATAAATTTAGTCAAAGCGAAAAAGGGATGTGTGTATGATATTCTAGCTGAAATCGCCTCCCCCTTCTGTTCCTCTATGATCATATCAAAGGTGCTAGAATATCATTAGTTTTAATAATAATGCTATGTAAGTATGACGTTCAATCTAACATCGACCCTCTCCCGCCCCTTCCATTAAACTGTGGGTATTGTGTTATATACTAGGATGCTGTTTTTCAGCTGATATCCTCCACCTCGCCTCCAACATTTTATGCATGTAGATTAATAGAGGACGACATATTAGGATTATATATTTATTTAACTGAAATGATTCTACCTTCGCTATATTATGGACGTAAAATATGTGATGTGTTGGATGTTCTCAGGTTAAATTGTCCTAGCTTCCTTTATAATGATGGAAATGTATTTTAACTCAATACAGTTGAAGTGATGCGATATTCATAATGAGTAATAAAAGAAACGATTTAGAAAATAAGAATTATAGAAAATCACTATATTTATTTACGGTGCGTTGTGTTAATTGAAATCGTGATCAACAAGATATCACGTGACACGTCATTATACATGATGTATTAAATAACACGCATGATTTTCGTCGGAGTGTATCGAGTAAATAAAACCCCCTTTTTTAACTTTCGGTTTCACAAAAATATAAAATAGATTGGGCTTTCCAGTACTCACATTTCACAATAGTTGGTTCACGTGTATATATTTTGTACTTAATGCCTCGTGGTTATCTTACTCACAGCATATGCTAATTAGTTTCTCACGTTTTGTTTGGTTAAACCTATATAAAAAGAACTTTGACACTATCCTAATGCCTTTAAAACGTTTAATGGCACAGGTATCGTATCTGTCCTTTAGGTGTTGTTTTCTTTCATGATTTTAAC